TCCTCCAGTCTTTCTCTATGTCTTTCTTCCTTCCGGTCTCTCTGCCGCCTCTCTTTGCGCTTCTCATATTTAAATATATTAGTTAATAACACATTATTGCAATCTTTATTTGAAGCAGCGCCTACAGCCTCAGTGTCATCATCAATAAACTTGTGATTAGTGATTATTTGGCCAAGTCACAAGTAGTAAAAACGGTTTGGGCTCGCTTGCAGCTCTGTTGGCCTGGCCTTATGGTAAATAAGTTTACTGCTAAGCATTTTGTGGTGGTTGCCAATGCTCATTAGGCGCATCCAAAACGAGAGCCCTACCCACATGAGGGACTGCCGTCCCGACCAACCCAGACACACACACACACACATGAGGGCCAGTTAAACGACGGCACAGTTTAAGCCGAGTTGGCCCTTGCACTTGGAACGGGCTCCGGTTAGTTGAGGTAGGTTAATTTTATTGGCCAAATAAGTGGGTATCAAATTTAATGGCCAGAGCAACAAGCAGAAGGCCAAGACGCGCACGAACAACACGAAGCAGAGGAAGAAGCAGCAGCAGCAGCAGCAGAGGAAGAAAACAACGAGAAAGCAACAAGAAAATGGGGGAGGCAGCAAATTGCGGCCCAGTGCGCAGTGCATAAAGCGTAAAAATGAGCCAAAATAAATAAAAGCCGCAACAACAACAGCAACGAAGCCGTCGACGTCGACGTCCGTTTGATTGATTGGCGACAGCAGCGGAAGCGTCTGCGTCAACGTCGACGTCGACAGCGAACTTGTAAACGTTCGCTCACAAAATGGCTTTTGCGTAAGGTCAGGCATTTTGCATTAGCCGTGCCAGAAGCCAATCCCAATTGTCTCTGAGCGGAACCACCAGCTCGCTCACTCGCTTCACTGCCGAACGAACTTTAATTAAGAAATTATCGATCAGCGGCGTCCTCAAAGGCTCCTTTCAAATTACCGAACAATCGAGTATAAATTTCTTTTGAAATGAAGTTTTTGTATAACATATAAACTGAAAAAAATATTCGAGAATTGGCTAAGCTATGAGTGGAGATTATCAAAGACTGAGATGAGACATTTTCCCTATTTTATGCACATCAAATAAAAAACTCAAGAATGAAAACAATAAAAACCGAAGAATAAAACAAAACTTCAATTTCAAGTTTTAAGTTTTTTAAAATTATTTTTTTAATTAAGACTTTAGACAAAGAAATGTCCAGTTACTTACGCTAGAGGAATCTCTGCTCTAATTGAAAAAGAAATTACATTAATCGATATACGATATACGAAAAGACTTGAAGAAAATTTCTAATTAATTTATAATGCTTTTCAATAGCTCCAGAAATTATTTGAATATTTTGCTTTTAATTGGTTACTCTGTATCAGCTAACATAATTCTGGAAATATCGATAAATATCGACTTTTAAAAAATGGCATGACCCGCTATATATCCATCTCTAAGTAAACGATAATTTGATAAAAATCGATTTGACATAAAAAATATATAGCTATATATATCGATAAAAATCGATCGTTTATACTTGTTTTCTTCATCTTGTCTCTCCATCTTGCTCTCTTTCTTTCCCACTTCATTTACCCATCAACAGCCTTCGCTAAGCATGAAAATTCTTTAGCAATTTTCACATAACTCGGCTAAATTTAAGAGCTGAAGTCTGAAGAACGAACACCTAAGAACGAAGTCGAAGTCGAAGTCGAAGTCGCAGTTTACCGATATCCGACTTAGTAATTCTTTCACGATCCTTCACTGTGTGGAACCATTGTGTATCAAGATCGTGTGATCTAGTGTGGCAGGCAGGCAGCCCAGGCAGTCAGCCAGTCAGGCAGTCAGGCAGGCCAAACGCATGATCACGTTTACGCTTACGCATCATTTAATGGATGATCGTGGTGAGGCTGACTCAGCTGATGGCCAGCGAAGCTGTTGATGAACAAACGCTGCTCCGCTTCGTATCTATCTGGCAAGCTGGCTAGAGTTTGGCCTGGGCCTGGGCCTGGGCACGGCACCCACCAACTGGGCATACAACTTTATCACTTGGCCACAAAATATCTTCAATTGGTTCCATTAAACTTAAGCAGCGACCGTGCACGCTCTACACGCTGTACACGCTGTACATGACCAAGGCAGGCCGCTTCGTGCGTTGCCATCATCATCGTCATCATTGGGCGTCGTGCCCAAAATTAACCTGCCCGGCCAGCCAGCCAGCCAGCCAGCCAGCCTAGCAGCCAAGCAGCCAGTCAGCCCAGGTTGCTTGGTGGTGCTGCAGGTGATGGCGGTGCAACCTCATGCCGCATGATCATGGCGACGCAGGCTACGCGCAGCCGCTATAAATTCTATTGGCGTATCTATCTACACTATTTCTAATTTAGCCTTTTGCCTTTGCTGCGCTGCGGTTGAAGTTGCAGCTCGAGTTGGAGTTTGTGAAACTGTGGCTCAGCTTACTATGTTACCTTAGTCGACGTCGTCGTCGTCGTCGTCGCTGGCCAATTTAAGTTTAAGTGCTTTGGTAACAGTTTCGCGCTTTCGAAACTTGAGTCGTGATTTATATTTTTTTCATTTTTTTTTTTGTTCTCCTCTCTTTCTCTCTCTCAGTTTTGCTGTTCTTTTTGTTGTTGGTATTTTATGCTTGCTCCCCCAACTCCCTTTTGGCAGTCGAGCAGCAACTGCGATTCCTTTGGAGGCGCTGCAGGAATTTTCAAGTGCCGTTTTTCACGCCACGACACGCAATCGCTGCGCTCAAGTAAATTAGGAAAATTGATCTAAATTTTCTTGGGAACCTTTCCATTTTTCTATTGCCGCTGCTGCTTTTGCTGTTATTGTTGCTGTTGTTGTCGCTTTTTTGCCAAGATCGTTTGCAGCTTTGCCATGAGAGCAAAGCCAGAGCTAGACGAGCAGCGAGCAACCCATCAAAATCAAACACATGTTGTCGTCGTTTTGCAATTTGGTAACTGGAGCTGCGAAAGAGCCACAAATGACTGACGCAAAGATACCCTGTCTACACTGTGAATCGATTATTATCGATATGGAAGCAGAAATCCAAGCAAAATGATAACGCGAACTTGCCTTTAGTTCATATATAAACTGTATCTGCATAGATTCATTGCAATCGAGGGCATGTAGAGCCGTGGCTTGAGTCTAAGAGTCTCATACATTTCAATCATGATCGATCTGCAGTCACACGCAATCGATAGAGCCAACTGAATAACAAATAATTTCAATTATAAATCGATGCTTGAGCGATGCCATCTGATAGCAAAATGGGCAGCACTCTCCTCAATACAAGTAGAAATGGGCAGCACTTTGACTTGACTTAAAATATAGATTTGAGCAGCTGTTGCCACAGCATACAGTTGATATATAAATACATATATATATATATAGCAGATCTGTCAGAGCTTTCACGCAACAAGAACAAGCTTGCAGAGCAATCGCCTTGGATCGCCTTGGATCGCATCGCGTTTGTTACTCGCTATTCAGAGCGAGCATAAATGCAATCAGCAATCGCATTAATTTCAGCTACACAACGTGGTGCTAATGCGACAAGTTCGCTGGCTGGCCATTTGCCGCTTCCTGGAAAGTGGCATCCGAATCGGAGCACAGCGCTCAGCGATCAGCGATACGAAAAGGTGCAGCGCATCGAATCGAAGCGGAGCAGTGCCTGCGACTCTATCTGCATTGGCCATCGACTAGCTGAGTGACTGAGTGACCAGGCACTGGCAGGCAGCCGACTCACTCAGATAACGCTCGAGCCATGGTCGGCAATTATAATATATACAAAATGCAATCGAGTTCAGAGGGCAAACGTAGAAATGGCCAGAGAAAGAGAGGGAGAGAGAGGGGGAGATAGCTGAAGAGAGAGACAGATGGGGGGAGATATTGCTAGCCAGCGGCTGGTATCGGTTCATTGGCAGCTTTGCACGTCGTCGTCGTCGTCGTCGTCATCGTCGATCAATGCGCAGCCTGTAGCGCCGCAGCCATATCAAGATGTTTGGCTTATTGAGCCCCGGACCAGGCAATCGTGATCAACTGTGCAACAGAATTCGGCAGCAATTTTCGTGGCACATTGCAACTGGCGATGCGGCGACAGATTCGTTTTGGGCGCTACGCAAGTCCACAGCCAGCCAGAGCCATGTCCGTAGCCAGTCCAAATGCCAGCTGCGGGCGCCCACAACGCACATGCTGCAAGAAGGAGAGGGCAGGAGAAAGAGAAAGAGAAAGAGAGAGCGAGAGAGGCTGGGAGAGAAAGAGAGGGAGCGAGAAGCTGTAGGCGCAGCGAGAGCTGCAGCTATCCACAGCTCCACGTTTAATAAGCAATTTTGATTTGGAGCAGATTATGTGACGGGCAAACGAGCCTCGGCACCAGGTTGCATGCAACATGAGGCAACAGCTACTGCAGCCGAAACGTGAGCTCCTTGAGTGCCAAGCAGCCAGGCAGGCAGTTGCAGGCAACTTGCTTTAGCTTGCCACGTCTCGCTGCACTTGACTTTGTTGCTGACCCGGCCAAAGATTTTTAACTTGCCCCATGCGCGGTCTCTCTCTCTCTCTCTCTCTCTCTCTCTCGCTCTCTCTCTCTCTCGTCTTCCCCCTCTCTGGCCGCTCTGCTCCTCTTTGTGCGGATCTTGCTGATACTGTTTTACATGGAACTCGTACTGATTGCTTCTAGTCATGCCCCGATTTGCAGATTTCCCATTCTGTGATAAGAGTGTGCATCATTTTCATTGGAATTGCATGTCTTTTTTATTGAATTTTAATTGGCAGTCCAACAAGTAACAGCTACAACATAAAACTTAGATGGTTGAGAGTACAGAGATATTGTGAGTGACATGCTGGCTCTCTCGCTCATCCTCGCTCGCTCTCTCTCACTCTCTCTCCCTCCCCTCTATATATATATACAAAGGTATAGTCATATACATATGCTAGATACATATATATGAATACATAAATGCTCAGCCAAAGAGATGTTTGTGTGTTGTTTAAGTGTGTGTATTTTTGTGTGAGTGTGAGTGCGAGTGTGAGTGTGAGTGTGAGTGTGAGTGTGGTGTAGAGTTTGTCAGCTTGCATAAGTGAATTTCGCGGTCTTTTTTAGAGGCTACTTAAACGACTCCAAGTCCTTTTCGCATGTCTTGTAAGCCACCCCAATGCCAAATCCAGTGCCAAGCAATATGGGCCAAACGCGCCGACGAAGAAACAATAGCGATATAACCGCGCCAACGACGAAGCCGCCGCCGCCCTTAACAATGCCATTGGCCAGACAGCGATCGAACTTCCTTCCGGGCTGGTCCTCGAAGAAGACTTTCTCCTCGACAGGCATTGTTGGATGTTATGCTATATGTTATTCCCACAAGTCCAGCACCTTCCCCTGCGTGTTGCTCTATTGGTTTTCACAATAACTTTGACATAAAAACGGAAAATTTTCCTAATCAAGTTGTTACGTTTAAAATTAGGCACGATTGTTAATGATGTTGTTGTTTCGAAAAACTGAAAGTGATGTCAACTAACCGCTTCTACAGCTCACCTCTAAACTACTTGGCCAAAGCCAACTCAGTTACACAGTTTTCTGTATTCCATTTGCTTATGTGCCAATCGCTTGCCACTTTCATTGTTATCCATTATATATTCCATAAAAGTCGCTTAGCTCTATCACACATGAATTTTACCTCATAGCGTATCGAAGAAAAGAAAAAAATTATCAAAGTTCCAACTTAGCTTTGTCCAAGACTCAGCAAAGAAGTCTGAAAGGTAAGACAGTTAAGTTGGTGAATACAAGTATAAAATATTAGTTTTTCTTTTCAAAATAATAAAATACTTAATACTTATACTATATAAAATACTAAATATTTAAAAAAAAATGTTTGCAAAATTTATTTATTATGAATTGAAGAAAAATAATTATTAAATTCTTTAACATATTTCAAATCAAACTAAATATTTAAGTTATATAATTTTTCATAAATAAACAACATACTAAAATCATTTGTTTCAGAAAAAAAATATTTTAAAAATATGTTTAATTTATTTTAAAAAGCATTTCTATAAAAAAAATATTTAATTAAAAACAAAATAATTAAACAAAATAAATTTTAAAACTCTTAAGTTTAATATAATAATATAAGAACATATACAAATGCATATATAATAAAAATGTATTGTATAATAATTTATAAAAAGTGTTTATTAAATATACTTATATTTTTAACGTTACAATATTGTTTTTAATTTTATTTTGCATTATAAAAATATTTATATAATAATTCCAAAATAAATTTACTATATTATATATATGTTTAAAAAAAAATTAAAAATAAAATAAAAATGCTGCTTACATATTTAAAAATAAAATATGTTAAATATTAAAAAATAAAACTTAAATATTTTTAAATAAATTTTTTGACAATTTGGCATTTGAAGTAAATGCTTAAGTTATTAATTTATATACTATATCTGATATTTTAATCAATTCAAGTTGACTTAGCCATAATATTGTGTACTGGAAAAGCAACTGGAACGAGACTCTGTAGCTTCACAGAGTTGGATGCGAACTGGCACCGACTGTTGCCAAAATGCTGGGAGGCAGCAACATGCATGCAGACATAGATAGGAACATGGTATGCGGAGCTGTTGTTGCATTTGCCACATTAACAACTCCGCGAATGGGAATGGAAATGTTTGTGGAGTGGGCTGAAGGCGGGCAGGCCTCACATTGGACTCCTTCAGAGCACGCATGCTGCCGGCAATGAAGCGCAACTGGATAAGATTTCAGCCAGATATGCTTGCCACTTAACCTTTGGCAATGGTGGTGCGGCAGCGGCAGCAGCAGTCGTAACAGCAGCCCCAGATCGATCACGATCGATATCTGCCAAAATAGATAATAATCGATAGCAAGTGCCTTGGCCGCAGCGAACACAATCGTGTGCAATCTCAACTATCTATATGGTCTAGCTGTCTGTCCGTCCATTCATCCGGGCAGCTATATGGAGAGCGATGGAGGTAATCATGTCAGCTAAGGGAAAAGCACCGTAACATTGTTTCCATTACGATTCCAGTTTCGGGTCGATGGGAACTAGCCGAGCACAGGAAAGAAAACATCGCTGACGAGCGCTGCTCTGTTGACGTGTTAAGTGTTAAAGAGACGCCGCCGCCGCCGCCAACAACTTCGTGGCCCCAAAAAGAAGAAAAAACAAAGTTTTGGATTTTGGCTAGGCTAGTTGGTAACGGCAAGGCTATAATTTGCTCGCCCACCATTTGCTGGTCTGGCTGACTGGCTGCCTGGCTGCCTGGCTGGCCTGGTCTAACTCGAAAATTGCAAATTCGGGTGTTCAATGGCGTCCGAATCCTTTTCTATTACTGCTGCCACAAAGCTGTTGCTTGACCGGGCTCTGTGTTTAAAGAAATTGTTGTGCCTCCATTCGCTGCATCAGCAATTTAATGCAGTTGTTGCTGGTGTCTGAAATTGGGTGTTTTGTGGGTGTTGCGCATTTTGCACTTTGGCACAGTTATTGGAAGCTCAGCCATTGCCGTGGCTTGCGGTAATCTTTTAAATTAAACGAATGCATCATATGCCGCTCGAAATTGGGGTCAACTCGAAGCTACTTAAGTCTACAACAAGCGAGAAACACATATATATATATATAGACCACAAAGAAACACTGCAAAAAAGTATGTTTCTCAAGTGAGCCGGCTTAAGCAAAAGCTAATTAAATCGTTAAGAAATTTAAATACTCCAACTTCTGCCGACTAAATTGCTTTCAACTAAATATTGACTAAAATATATATAAAAGTATAAATATATAAAATGACTATATTTATAATTTATATTTTATTTTATTTTATATACTTACAAACTAACTATATACTTTATGTTTAATTTAAAAAATTAATATTGAAAAAAATTTAATTTAATTTAATTTTCAAGTATTTAATATATATTATATTATAAGAAATGTTTGTAAATATTTGTTTTTTAAATAATTTTTATATTAATAATATATAATTATATCATATTAATTTATATAAAATACGAACAAAATATTTGCATACAATTTTTTTTATTTAAAATCATAACATTAAAAAAAAATTGAAATTTGAATTTAAATTTAAATAATAAATAAATTTAAAAACTGTATTGATTTTTAAACTATATGTAAAATTTATTGAAAAAAAAAATATAATATATATTTATAAATTTCTACAAATATATATGTATATATATTTATTAATTAATTTAATATTACATTTCTATTATTTAAATATACGAAAACTGAATTTTTAAAGACATTTATTAAGTCTTAAACAAATACGAAAATACAAAATTTATGTAATTTAATAGTTATTTTTGATTTTTTATTAAATGTTTAGGCTCGCCTTTAGTAACTTATAGACTTGTTTGTGTACGTTATTAATGTTTATGGGCCTTTTTTTATTGCAGAAGTGACTGCATTTAACGGTTAAAATGCAGCAAAAGAAGAAGATGAGGGCGAAGAAGCGAAGCAAGGAGTGAAGAAGGCAGTTGAGACCACAAATTGGCCAAAAGCAGTTGGCTTATAATAAAGACATTTATGGGCCGCAGCGATTCAATTGTGCGGCAGTCCACAACTTTGCAGCCAATGAGGTAAACACACAGACAGACAAACAGAGAAGAAAGAAGAGAAAGAGAAAGAGAGAGGGAGAGGAAGAGAGAGAGAAAGAGTCGAGTTCTGAGTTGATCAGCTTTGAGGTAAGCTGAAATAATTCGACTGCAACTCGCAGTTCAAGTTGGACTTGGACGACGATTACCTTGAGGGCAACGCACAACGTTGCGTGTGTGGGTCTCTGGGTGTGTGTGTGTATTGGGTGGGTGTCCCTAGTCAGACATCGTGCAACTACAACAATAACACAACAACAACAACAACAACAACAACTCAATGAGCACATGCTCAAGTCAAAAAAGAAAACATGACCAAGGCCCGAGAGCCATATGGCCAACAATTGAGATTCGGGCCGCAAACTTAGGCCCGGCTCTGGGTCTGGTGGCATGGCCAGAACGGGGCTCATTATAGATGCAGCGCCGATTTGTTTTGTTGTCCCCCCATTTGACTTTGAATTGATAGCATCAGGCAGCAGCCGGCAAACGGTTTAGCCCCAGACGCTTTTCGACTCTCCACTCCCGACTCGGACTCCCAACTTAGCACAACAACCACAAATGTGACGCAGGCCGGCGGGTGCAGCAGCCGCAGCAACAGCAGCAGCAGCCCCGTTTTGCCTGCATTTAAGATATAAATGTATCTGAACAATTGAGCTAGCAGTGCATGCGCATGTGCAGCGAAAATATTTGAGATTCGCATAAACTTTGCATAGTTTTTAGATGCTGCGCACAGTGGTCAAAAGACATGGGAAAATTCATGAAAACTCTAAATCAAATTCAAGCATTTCGATGTGAATGTGAGGGGTAGCATACATAGAGGGAGGGAGTTAGGGAGAGAGGGAGGGAGAGAGGGAGGGAGAGAGGGCTAGATACATAGATTAAGAGTGAATAGTAGGTGGGGGGATGAGAGAGAGAGAGAGAGAGAGTGAGAGAGATAGCTTAAGAGAAAAAAATAGGTAGGGGATGATAGAGAGATAGTAGAGAGAGAGTAACAGAGAGAGACAGAAAGAGACAAAGAGACTGAGAGTGACAGAGAGGGCAGATGAGATAGAGAGATAAAGAAGCAAAGGAAGAGACATAGAAGAATAGATCTCATATCAAAGACAAAGAGATTGAGATTGACAGAGACAAGGAAATAATTATGGTATCATCTGAATTCATATTTCCATATGTTTACTCTGGAATGAGCGGAAGAGACAGAGAGAGAGAGAGAGAGATGTTGGCTATGGTCATATCTCTATGTCAACTTCATATTTTTTTTTTTTTTTTTTTTTTTTTTTTTTTTTTTTTCGTTTTTATTTCTTTATTTTGTTGCAGCTTATTGTCTTAGACTCTATAGCGCATTTAGCTCTAAACCTTAACTAATGGGAGGGCAGATATGCCAATTATTCTGCACTTGTAGCTACTATCTTAATTAGTTCTAATATTGTCTAGAGGATGCAATCTCTTCAGTCTTCGCCTATTGTTGTTTATAGCCAGGTTGCTTGCGAGATGGTTAGGATGCGCTGCAAGTCTGTCCGCGTATCTTGAACTGTGTCGCCCAATGAGTTCAGCAACTGTGGGAATTGCTAAATCCCTATGTAAGACTGAGTTTCTTACAAACCAGCTGGCTCCAGTCCATCTGCGTAGTGCTTTATTCTGCAGGGTCTGAATTTTGTTCCTTGTAGTCTTCGCCGAGGAGCCCCATAGAGAGATACCATATACGAAGGTTGGGACAACTATTGCCTTGTAGATGGCGGCCTTGCTGCTGTAAGACAACTTGCTTGAAGCTCTCAGCATCCAGTCGAGGGTTTTTAGCTTGCTTTTGCATTTTGAGGTTACTTGACTTATGTGCGCTTTAAAAGTCAGCCTTCTGTCAAGAGTGATACCAAGGTA